GTTAATTTTTAACGTCACCATGGTGATCAAACAGCGTTTTGGCAACTCGGATTGGGGGAACTGATGCATACCTGCCCTCACACAACAAGGATATTTTTGCAGCACAAAGTGGAGGCGTGCAGAGACAACATCCTCATGCCGACCTCGTTAATTTTGCTCCAACATGTGTGCAAACTGGCTGGTTTCCTGTCAGCCATTGTTCGCTTCCCATCAGATAAGATTTTTACAGCTCCGATAGCCGTGCTGTTATTGCTTCATCTGCAGCTGTTCGAACTCACATAACTTCTTACATGTGTGGATTTAAGGCTGTTTAAGTTTTGAGCTTAAGGGACAAACAGCAGTACAGGCTTTTGTGTCGGTTGGTGGAAAATAAATGAGTAGAGAGAATGAGGCAGGATGTGCTGCTTTCAGTGGAGATGGATGAGATGCCTCACCCAGGTAACAAAGACATGAGCTGCAGTTTTGTTCCATTAATAAGTAACCAACGAAATGGAAAATCTACCTCCACTCCCAGTCAAGTCAACTAAGTTTACAACTCTATTGTCTAGTGAGAACCCGCCTCACCTGCACCTCAGGTTTACGTCTGAGACCAGCTGAGTTTGGGAGTTTTAATCTTGTTTTAACATCCCAGAATAAAATGGTTTAATGTTAACAGGTGAGACCTAATTAAAAGTCACTGGAGATGTTGAATTATTAATAAAATTCCCTTTTTAAAAGCCCGAGCCAGAGCCTGGTGGTATTTATCCGCCTGACAGATGATGGAAAACTTCCCGGTGGGTTCAGATTGACGACCGCTGTCAACTATTTAGTTTCTCAGCTTTTTAAAGTGTTTTTCTGAGGATTTATGGGCTAATGAGACATTGCTTCAAATTTAGATGAGTTAATATTTTTTACAATTGTAAATTGTTCTTTGAGCCTCTAAAATAAAACTCTGTTGGGACTCACCATGGCCCAGGAGCCCTGGTGATTGGCCAAATACAAACCCATAGTAAAGCCCCACCATGAAAAAAGATGTTTGCCCCCCCCCCCCCCCCCCCCCCCCAGGACATGAATATCAAATGAGGTGTGTGCTCATTGGCTGGTTTACCCCAAAGGTTATATGAGGCTGTCTAAAGCTAGTATCTCAGTGTTCCGTGTGTGCAGGAGAGGGGTGCATAAGCCTGAAGGAGGAAGTGAGTATTGGTCTAGTGGGGTGGGCAATCCAGGTCCTCGAGGGCCGCTATCCTACATGTTTGTGTTTTCCCTGTTTAAACACACCTGATTTCAATCAGTAGGTGATTAATCAGCTTCTACACAGCCCGATGAGATGCTGAACAACTGAATCAAGTGTGTTGGAACAGGGAAACAACAAAAATATGCAGGATACCGGCCCTCGTGGACTGGAGTTGCCCACTTAATGTCTGAGAGTGGGTGCGGGAGTGTGAATGCACAAGGAAAAGGACAAAGACCAGACCAGACCAAAACCCCAGATCATAGCACTGCCCCCACAGGCTCGTACAGTAGGCACTAGGCATGATGGATGCATTACTTCATCTGCCTCTCTACCTTGATGCTCCCATCTCCCTGAAACAAGGTTCATCTGGACTCATCAGACCAGTTTTTAATAATTTGTCGGACAGTTCTTAACCCAATTTTAGTCATCTATGTAATCTCCTCATGCTTGATGCATACCAATGATCTGACCCTTATCAAACAGACTAACATCTTTTCCACGACCACCAGATGAGTCTTTCCACTGATAGTTTAAGAAATGAGAAGCAAATCATTGCACCAGTTTAAATAAAGGCATACAATGAAACTTTTTCACATTTTAAAATAATTTTCTTGGGCCAGTTTGTGCTAAAATGACAGGGTTAATAAAATGTCACTCAGACCCCCACCGCCCTCTGTGACCAAAATATCGCACTTACAACTTCACAGTGGCGGTCCGGTCCCTGTTAGCCTTAGTAAAGAGGAGCTGACATGCCTAGCACTGGAGTTTGGTTCCAGCACGTTTCCTGCGTGTTTTAGATTGTGAACACAGATTGTTTGATTTAGTGTTGAACTGCTCCTGTAGACACTAATGATGGCTGAGGAGACGTTTCATCAGTTAGATTAAGGTGTTAAAAAGACGAACGCACAGCGAGGAGATGAGTTTCACTTTTGGTTCCACTAACAGACACAAGCGGGTGCTAAAAGCAAGCCAAAAGTGCCTAGTCTACCTTTAAACTTGCTGCAAACTGAAAAATAACCACCTACGCAGTAATTATCCAATAGGAAGCTCATCCCTAGTTAAATCCAGGTGGTGACTTTTTTATTTTGGCCAGGCAGTGTATGCCTCAATCCCATTACTCGCACTGTGCCCTGCAGTCTTCAGCAAAGTGCACTTGGAGAAAGCGTCCAGTAAAGCTTCGAGTGTGTGGTACACAAGTGTGCAAATAATTGCCAAATTAAGACGGGGAGCATTGCGTAATGGACCACAACGCATGCCGAGATGCTGATCGCTGATACTTAAAAAAAACAAAACAACTTTTATTAACAACTTTCAAACAACTAACAATTATTTCAAATAAATTCACATTCATTGCTGCTTTGTCTAAAAGTTTCAGAGCATCAACTAATCATCCTAAAATGAACTACTTTCATTAGAAAATACATATTGTATGCAAATACATAGGGGGAAATAAAAGAAAAAAAATGGAGAAAATTTTTTTTTCAGTAAAGGCACTTGAGCCTTTTCTCCCCCATCAATGCGGACTTGGGTGAAGTGCGGATTAAGGGTACAAAAGGAGCGTGATCAACTTCCACACTTAAGATTCGGGACACCATATGTACTCAGACCCCTGGTCGGGATTGCGCAATTGCAGGACACAAGTGTGGAAGTGCCAGTATTGGGATTGGGCCTAGTGGGTTGGGACGCACAGATTTAAGCTGGTATTTCTAAGTTTATGATGTGTCAAACTAGCTTTTGTCAGAACGAACCATTCTTTCAAGACCATTAGTACTACTAATCACTAATTTACATAGGAAAACAGGTCAGAGAAGGCACAAGTTTTGGTATGCTACTTTCGAAACCCAAGCTGCCTACATTCAACAACAACAAGGAAAGTTTGGCTGGATTCCTTCAAAATGGAATGTCTTCAGCCAAAACCAGAACTTCCACATGAATCTGTGTTTGGACCCTGTTCCAACCAGACGAGCAGTGTAGCTTGGTTTTTAAAGGGAGTGGTTCATGTAAGTCATGTTAGGATTCCAAATCTCACTGCATTCATCTCACCTGCCGCCCCCCCGCGCTGTGTCGACACAAACACAGCTGTTTCACCACACTTTGGAAGAATACCTCGCACCCAACCAGCGAGAAGATGAAATTGGAAATCACCACCATCTCTTGCCCCAAATGAATTTTTTTCTTTCCTTTGAGTTGTGATTTTTCTTCACAATGTGTTTTATTTATCATCTCAAGTTGTAACCCTGTAATCACAGCTTTGTGGTGAGAGTTCTGGTGGTTTTTGGCACAAAGCTTGGGACGTTTTAAATATTTTAGATGCAGTTAACTCTGGAAAAGCTCAAACTAAAATCAAAGCATACAAAACAGAAATGGAGACGCAGCTGAAGATTAATATTGAATAAAAATAAAAACACACATAAAACGTTGATCATGCAAAGATTATATTTTAACTGCAGGAAAATTCAGAGAGCAGAAAAAGGCACAATGTTGAAACCAGAGTGAACACCCCCTAGTGGCTGGCTGCAGTACAACCTTTTGAGTCTTACCCTCTCCATTCACATTAATGGGACTTTGCTCTGATAAAAACATTAATAAATATGAGGTGTTGATTTACATAGGTCCTTCTTAGCTTCTGTATCCTCATATTTATTTTTTCTAAACGGACCTTTCCACTGGATGCACAAGCATCGCGTAGCGTAGTACGCAGCAGCTAGCTGCTGTTATAGTGGATTGTTGCGAAGGAGGAGTCCCTAAGGTTAGGTATGCACTGCTTACATTTCAAGTATATCTTTTATATGCTACAATCCCAGAACGCCTCAACCTCAGAAGTTCATATCAGGCCGAACAGGAACTCAAACACAAAAATAATATAAAACAACCAAAAACTTTCAAAATAAAAGTCATGATTTCCAGTTGCTTTACTAGTAAAAAAAAAAAAAAGCACGTTATTAACTGTGACATCTTCATAGCCGAGGTAAACAGAACAGAAAACAAAACAAAGATGTTTTTGGATACATACATCTTTATACTTGCTTGTTATCTTGTTAATGGCAGAAATCACGTGGGGTCTTCTCCGGTGATTTTGTGATCTTGCAGAACCAACTGCATGGAACGCTTTTGCTGATATTTTGAGTTTGAAATGCTCCAGGTAGGAAGGAAACTCTGCATCACTTAAGTAACATAGCTCAAAAAACTATTAAAGCAAGTATTATCACACGCTCTTTTTCCACAGTTCTCCGAGAACAGTGAGAACAAACCAGTTACACAATAATGACCATAAATATTACAATAATCAGACACTGTTCTTGATTTGATGGGAAACCTTCAGAGACTCTTCAGCCACAACAAGCCTAGATGGAAAATTGCACAAGAGATCAAAGCAATTATGAAACTATAGGGTGCAAAAGCAATAATATATTATTTTTGTGGCTGGATTGACTTTAAAAGCTTTGAGTTGTTTTATAATTCAAACTGGAAAAACGTTGACTGGTATCTATGAGCATTTTAAAACCTAAATGATGAGTTAGAACCACAAGTGTGCCAACAGCGCCCTCATGTGGTGCCTCTGTATCTCTAACTGGAATGAGTTTTGGATCCTTGTAGCTGTTCGCCTGGTGGCCAGCCTCATGCTTCCTTATGGGGAAGTTCTCTGTGTAGAATTAAACACAGGACGAGTCTTGCAGGCCAGACTAGTTTGTTAATGTTCCGAAACTTCCAGCAGCTCAGATCTTCAGTTTTAAATGCGTTTATTGTGATTCCATTTCCCATTCGATTGTTTTTCTGTTTGCTGCAGGTTTGAGCCCATCTCAATGTGACAATGGCAGACAGTTCGCACTGCTTCTACTGTCGGGAGGATCTGGGAGGGAAGAGGTTTGTTCGCAGTGAGGGGAGACCCGTGTGTGTTCGCTGTCACACCAAGTTCTGTGCCAACTCCTGCGTCGAGTGCCACCGACCCATTTCTGTGGAGACTAAGGTGTGCTGCCAACACACATTTCTGTTCAGATTCAGAGGAGGGTCTGTGTGCAGTTCCTCTGTGAAGAAACTTCTCTCTTTCTCCATCAGGAGCTGAGCCACAAAGGTCGCTACTGGCATGAGGAGTGTTTCCGTTGTGCAAAGTGCTACAAACCTCTGGCCAAAGAACCATTCAACACCAAGGATGACCGCATCATGTGTGTGAGGTGTTGCTCCAAGGAGGATGCTCCATGCTGTCATGGCTGCTATAAATCCATACTGGCAGGTACAAATCAAATCTGCAAATTTTCATTCATTGAAACTTACTCTGCTGGAGAAATATTTAACCCTCCCACTGTCCTAATGGGTGACCCCATGAGGAAAGTTGACGATTGAGCAGGGTTGATGGTTTATCCCTTGAGGTCCACGTGGCAGGGGTGATGTGGTGCTCACTCCTCACCCCTGCCACGTGGACCTCAAGGGATAAACCATCAACCCTGCTCAATCGTCAACTTTCCTCATGGGGTCACCCATTAGGACAGTAGGAGGGATAAAACAATTTTGCTCCCAACACTGTGGATCATGACCTTTTAATTTCTAGGTTGGGATCAGAGGTACTGCTTGGTTTAAGTCTTATCTCTCAGATCGAAGCATCTCTATTAGCTTTACTTCCCCAGTCACTCCTGCTGGTTGTGGAGTTCCGCAGGGCTCCATTTTAGGTCCCCTGCTGTTTTCCCTTTACATGCTACCTCTTGCACACATTTTCCAGAAATACATCATCCTCTTCCATTGTTATGCTGACGACACGCAGGTTTACTTTCAGGTAAATGGCAATGGCTCGTCTTCTGCCAAGCCCCTATTGGACTGTCTAAATGATATAAAATATTGGTTGTCACACAACTTCCTTAGATTAAATGAAAACAAGACTAAGGTCATCGTCTTCGGCCCCAGTGGCTCCTGCAGTGGTGGTCATCTGAATCTCGGTGCATCAGAACCCTGTAGGAATTCACTGGTGAAGGATCTGGGAGTGTTTTTAGATTCACATTTTAATTTGAAGAGACAGATAAGCTTATTTAGAAGGGAACGTTTTTATCAACAAAGGACCTTTAGAAGCTGATCCACACCTTCATCACCCGTCAATTAGATTATTGTAATTCACTGTTTGCTGGTGTGAGGGGTTCAGAATGCTGCTGCCAGACTGTTAACATCTTCTAGAAGGCGAGCTCACATCACCCCTATCCTTGCTGTACTGCTGTGGCTTCTAGTTCATATTAGAATTGATTTTAAAATCATTTTAGTGACTTTTAAAGTATTACATGGCCAGGGTCCACCATATTTGAAGGTCTTAGAGGGATTACCTTTTGGTAACTCCAAAGACAAGGTTGGTGCACAGGGGAGATCGTGCTTTTGCTGTGGTGGCTCCCAAATTTTGGAACCATGTTCCCCTTCATATCAGACATGCTTGATTGGACTGTTTCGGTGCTTTATCAAAGTTTTTATTGTTTTTCTGATGTTATCTTGTGCAGTGCTTTGGTCAAGTTGTGTAAATGGGTGTACTTGAAATAAAAAATCAAGAGATAAAAAAAAAGTTGTGTAAATGTGCTATATAAAAAAAGTTGAGATGAGGAAAATGAAACTGTAAATATTCAGCTCTAGAATATTGATGATCCATTTCCTGTTTCCTGCAGGCGCAGAGACCGTGGTGTACAAAGGAAAGTTGTGGCACGATGAATGTTTCATCTGCTGCGGCTGTAAACAGCCAATGGGTTCGCAGAGTTTCCTCTCTAAAGAAAGCGACGTTTACTGTACTCCATGCTACGATGAGAAATTTGCCAAACGTTGCTTCAGCTGCAAAAAGGTCATTTGCTCCAAACGAGAAAATTGTTATTAGAACAGTCAGTTTGCATGCCTTTAAGTTTGTACATGACGTTAACTCTGCTGCTCCTTTCTGACTGAAGCCGATAACCTCTGGTGGAGTGAACTACCAGGAGCAGCCATGGCACAGCCACTGCTTCGTGTGCAGCTCCTGCTCCAAGCCTCTGGCAGGGTCCAGCTTCACCAACCACCAGAACCAGGTCTTCTGTGTGGACTGCTACAAGAGCTGTGTGGCCAAGAAGTGCAACGGCTGCCAGAACCCCATCACAGGTGGCCTCAAGTTACAAACTTTACTTTAATGATCAATTTGGACCATTTTGTGATTATTTGTTTAATTATATCACATATTATTTTGCAAAATAGAATTTTTTTTTTTACCCTCAAGACATCCGTGTCTATCTGGGACACAGAAACTAACTTCTGCCTTTTTCAAAATCATTATGGTTTACATGTTAAGTTTAAATCAGGCGTCTGAAGCCTGCTGCTTTTAGGACTCTCCACCATGGCTCTTAATACCTTTGGCTACAAAGGATAAAATGGAACTTACATTTGAAGCATCTTTCTGTTTTATTTTATTTTCATATGTTATTTACATACCACATGCTTTTGGATCTTTTTGTTTTATTTTACATTATTTTCTGCAAATATCAACATCACATTGGGGAAAAAATACAGAACTTTTAAAATAGTTTTTCTTGATTAAAAAAATGCCCCCCCCCCCCCCCCAAATTACAACACATCTCTTCTAGTAGATTTCATACTTTATTCTCAGAAATCTGAGAAAGAAAGATAACTTTTTTCAGTGCCCCAATGCTCTTTTGTAGAAATTTCACAAAAATGATAAATTGTCTCTTTTCAAACATACATGAAACTGTTGCAGCTCTAAGTTTTATTCTGATGGGCTGGAGGGAGGACGGCTCTTTGGACAGTAAAGGTTGCATGATCCCTGGTCTAAATCAAAAGGTCATGAGTACTGTAGAAATCCAGTGTAGGTTCTAGTGCCACCTACAGGTAAAACTGAATACTGCACCTAACTCTCACATCCAAACATGGAGAAAAGGATGGAGGCTCATTCCGCCAAAATATTTAACTCATAATTGTGAGCTAATTGTTTTATCAGAGCGGTGGGAATAGGCTTCCATACAAAACAGAACAAATAACTGTAAAATAAAACAATTATTATGAATTAAAAATATTACTTTACCAGTTAAATCCAACCTTTCTCTCTGTGCTGTTTTAGCTCTCTGACACTCCCCTCTCCGTCCAGGTTTCGGTAAAGGCGTGAATGTCGTGAACTTTGAGGGCAGCTCTTGGCACGAATATTGCTTCAACTGCAAGAGATGCTCCCTCAGCCTGGCCAACAAACGCTTCGTGGCCAAAGGAAGAGACGTGCTCTGCTCTGACTGTGGCAACAAGGAGTGACGGGCGACTTTTGCAGTGCTAAATATAAGTTTTACATATGGACAGTGTCTACATTTCAATATTCTCCCTTTTTCAGCAGATTTTTCTGGTTGATTACAGAACAACTTGGATGTTGAAGAGATTGCACCAGGATGAACTTGTCCAGATGTGAATAAAGTAGATAAACAGTTTAATAAAGCTGGTCAATAAATAGTTTGATTTCAAGAGGCTTTGCTTTCAGTTTGCATTAATGTCACAAAACGCTAAAATTTCATTTATAAAGTCATGCAATTATTGTTTGTAATGGTGCAGGAAGTCAGCTAAATAAAGCACAAGAAGGATCTTTAAACTGTCTTATTTTCTTTTCCTAATTACAGGAATAATTAGTCATGTTAGTCAACTTGTTTTGTTTAAAAGTAACATGATTCTGGGACCAGATCATCAATGTTGTCATCATTTCACCAAACGTTTGATCAATTTATGCTTTCATGCACGTTTCCTGTCAGGTTTTACTCCACAAATGTAAAAAACTTAATTAAGTGCTGCATGTTTTGTCTTGCTGCAGCGACATGAAATAAACTTTTTACAAAACTTTGACTTTATTATTTGAACATGTAGACTGAGACTTAACGTCTGCATGGCCTAAGCTGTGTTTGCCAGAGCTTATTACATTTCATTTTATGTCTTTTACGTGGAAGGCGATGTCTTTTAACTTAAATTTATTGACAACATAAAAAGACAGTCTGTGCATCGTGCGCTCCTCCCGTCTGGCCTGTGCTCTGTGCACACACAATTACACAGTCTGAACCAATCACATGCAGACGCCACTCGACTCCTCACACAAACACAGCAGCTGCTGCAGCTGCAACACTGAAGCAGGAAAGGTCCTGACTTGCTTTTTGTGCTTGTTTTATTCTACAGGTAAGAAGGGATTTCATTATAATCTGTCATTTAAGAGTCACACGAGTTCATGATGTTTTAAAACTTGAGTCGTGTTGCAGAATTTGTAAAGAAAACACAGGAAAAGTCATTTTAATTGCTTTTTTTTCCCAGATTAAATATGATTTTTTTAAAAGTGATCTTGAACGTGTTTGTGACTCTGCTCCTGCTGACAAGTCCAGCTTCTGCTGAGGAGAGAGGTAAGAAAGATGAAAATATATCCACAAAAATACAATTGATTATGTAGTGAAACCAACTTTAAGTCATAAAAACAGAAATATGAATAAAAAGGGATATTTTCAAGAAATGTTGACACATGTTTAAGCACTTAAGAATTAACCTGTGTAGCTGAGCTCATGGCTGCGTGAGAAAAATACAGTGACAGTTGTAAAAATGTCAAAAATATCTAAAACAAACAGCAAATGTAGAAGCTGAAGCCATTGAGGGATGGGAATAAAAAAGGATGTGAGATCTGAGATAAGTTTTATTACCGGTATGTTTACTTCCTATTTATGCTTTCTGAAAACCAGTAAACCAGCGTGGTTTCCGACTCATAAGCGAAAAGAAAAACTTTAAAAATGATGAAAACATCCATCTCTGTAACTTATGGCTGATTTATTTATTTATTTTTTATAAAACTTGAGTAAAACTAGGTGCTTATCCCAGGGTAGAAGCTCCTGTTTTTGGAAAAGCATCATCTACTGGAAACCATTAAGGTTTCCTCAAAAATGATCAGTTTCTGGTTGTAAAGGTGCTCTTTATTGGTTTCGGTCAGTGCCTTGGCAAAGTCTGTGGGGAAAAGTGGCGAACTTCTCCTCTGGATGCAGTCACTGGAGACTGAAGCCTCAGGTCTCCATTCCTGCTCTGCAGGAGTTCACCGTCTGTCTCAGCGTGAAGCTCGAGGTGATTCAAAACAACCAACCTTTCCACATACAGTACTTGTATTAAAAACTGATTTATATTGACATTATATATAAAACGCTTTGCAGGCTCAGACCTCCTCACAGTGGACCTTTTTTATGTACCGCCACCCGGAGGCTCAGTACGCTGAGCTGGGCTTGGGGGGTAAATGGGGTAAATTAGTGGTTTGGCTGTTTGGAGAGGAGTGGCTGAGCTCACAGATGGACCTCCAGCTGTTTCAGTGGTACTCCGTGTGTGTCAGCTGGTCTCATAGGAATGACAGACCTGCCCTTTACATTAATGGAGACCAGATCAACCTCACATCAGGTTCTCTTAGAGTTTATCACTTATTGACTCTGTCTGGATGGAGCATGATGTGTATTAAATGTCCTGTGTACCCCCACAGCTTACAACACCAACACACCTTTTATTTCCCCTCTGATCTGGAAACTGTCTCCTAACGGATCGCTGACTCTGGGCGCGGGACACATCATCACCAATGGGAATATTAAAATCCTTCCTTTTACCACTCTGTTGGGCAAATTATCCTTGTTTCGAATATGGAGCAGAGAACGCAGTAAAGAGGAAGTGACATCCCTGAATTGTACAGAAGGGGACCTGGTCAAGTGGGAGAAGGCCCACTGGGACATGTCGTACTGCGGTCCGCTCATTGACACCAGCCTCAAGTGTGGTGAGTGTGCAAAGTTTGAACTTGTCTTTAAAGGAGCAATATGTAAGAATTGAAAGTGAAGTAATCACAAAACAGTCTAATGTATCAATCATGTTGGAATGAAGGTTACACTGAAACAGATTTCCTTCACAGCCAGCTGGGGGTTGCCAGTGTTAGTGGTAATGGTGCTCTGGATGCTTTAGTCACATGATTAAATTGCATTTTTGTCCATCCCTTTCTTTCTCTGTCCCTGAAACCATTATTCATGTGTACATCATATCACAAATCAACAACTACAACAGTATCTTATATGGTATCACCATCCAAAACCCTCACCAAACTTCAAGACATCCAGAATGCTGCTGCCTGTCTCCTAACCCACACCTGCTCCCATGACATCACTCTTGTCTCTTCAAGACCTCCATTGGCGTTCTCTCCCTCAGACCATAACATTCATTGCCCCCTCTTGCCCCAATGTAGAACTGGCCTTGGGCAAGCAATGAGCTAACAATGTTAACGGTGAATTAGAAATAATATTTGCCACTAAAACCTATATCAAGTAACTCTTTTAATTACCCACAAATCAATATTACAGTGAAATGTATTCATCTACTTAACTTACTGTCTTCTGCAGCAGATCCATAACCGGCAACAGTCTCAAAACTCACAGAACAACGGAGTGAAAGTAATTTGTTTGTTTTGAAAATGGACTGCAGTACCCACATTTGACCACAGGATATCATTCTTGCTTCATTCTTACATAATGCACCTTTAGTATCAAGTAAATAATTTTACATCCATCCATCCATTTTCATCCACTTATCCAGAGTCGGGTCGCGAGGGCAGTAGCCTAAGTCGAGAGGCCCAGACTTCCCTCTCCCCAGCCACTTGGGCCAGCTCCTCCAGGGGAATCCCAAGGCGTTCCCTGGCCAGGTGAGAGACATAGTCCCTCCACCTGTCCTGGGTCTACCTTTAGGTCTCCTCCCGGTTGGACGTGCCCGGAAAACCTCACCAGGGAGGCGTCCAGGAGGCATCCTGACCAGATGCCCGAGCCACCTCAAATGGCTCCTCTCGATGTGGAGAAGCAGCGGGTCTACTCCGAGCCCCTCCTGAATGACCGAGCTTCTCAACCTATCTCTAAGGGAGAGCCCAGCCACTCTTCTGAGAAAACTATTTTTGGCCGCTTGTATCCGCAATCTCGTTCTTTCGGTCATTACCCAAAGCTCATGACCATAGGTGAGGGTAGGAATGTAGATCGACTGGTAAATCGAGAGCTTTGCCTTCTGACTCAGCTCTCTCTTCACCACGACAGACCTGTACAACACCTGCATCACTGCAGATGCAGCAACAATCGGCCTATTGATTTCACGCTCCAGTTTTCCCTCACTTGTGAACAAGACCCCGAGATACTTAAACTCCTCCACTTGGGGCAGGACCTCATCCCTGACCCGGAGAAGGCATTCTACCCCTTTTCTGAATCAAGACCATGGTCTCAGATTTAGAGGAGCTGATTCTCATCCCAGCTGCTTCACACTCGGCTGTGAACCGCTCCAGCGAAAGCCGAAGATCACATTCTGATGAAGCCAATAGGACCACATCATCTGCAAAAAGCAGAGACCTGATCAGGCCACCAAAACAGATGCCCTCCACACCTTGGCTGCGCCTAGAAATCCTGTCCATAAAGCTTATGAACAGAATCGGTGACAAAGGGCAGCCTTGGCGGAGTCCAACTCTCACTGGGAATGAGCCCGACTTACTGCCGGCAATGCGGACCAAGCTCTGACACCGGTCACACAGGGACCTAACAGCCCGTTTCAAAGGGCCTGGTTCCCCATACTCCCGTAGTACCCCCCACAGGGCCCCCGAGGGACTCGGTCAAACGCCTTCTCCAAATCCACAAAACACATGTAGACTGGTTTAGCAAATTCCCACGCATCTTCCAGGATCCCCCTAAGGGTATAGAGCTGGTCCAGTGTTCCACGGCCAAGACGAAAACCACAATGCTCCTCCTGAATCTGAGGTTCAACAATCCGACGGACCCTCCTCTCCAGAACCTCTGAATAGACCTTACCAGGAAGGCTCAGGAGTGCAATCCCCCTGTAGTTGGAACACACCCTGCGGTCCCCCTTTTTAAATAAGGGGACCACCACCCCGGTCTGCCAGTCCAGTGGGACTGCCCCCGATGTCCACGCGATATTGCAGAGCCGCGTCAGCCAACACAGCCCCACAACATCCAGAGCCTTAAGGAACTCTGGGCAGATCTCATCCACCCCTGGAGCCTCACCACAGAGGAGCTTTTTAACCACCTCAGTGACCTCAGCACCAGAGATTTGAGAGGCCAACCCAAAGTCCCCAGACTCTGCTTCCTCACTGGAAGACATGTTGGTGGATTGAGGAGGTCTTCGAAGTATTCTGCCCACCGATCCACAACGTCCTGAGTAGAGGTCAGCAGCACACCGTCCCCACTATAGATAGTGTTGGTAGCGCACTGATTTCCCCCCTTGAGGCACCGGATGATGGACCAGAATCTCCTAGAAGCCGTACAGAAGTCTTGCTCCATGGTCTCACCGAACTCCTCCCATGCCTGGGTTTTTGCCTTGGTGACCACCCGAGCCGCGTTCCGCTTGGACTGCCGGTACACGTCAGCTGCCTCTGGGGTCCCACAGTCCAAAAAGACCTGATAGGACTCTTTCTTCAGCTTGACAGCATCCCTAACCGCCGGTGTCCACCAGTGGGTTCGGGGGTTGCCACCACGACAGGCACAGACAATCCTGCGACCACAGCTCCGGTTGGCCACCTCAACAATGGAGGCACGGAACAGGGTCAATTCATACTCAATGTACCCCGCCTCCCCCGGAACACTTTGGAAGTTCTGTCAGAGGTGGGAATTGAAGCTTCTTCTGACAGGAGACTCTGCCAGACGTTCCCAGCAGACCCTTGCGATACGTTTGGGCCTGCCTGGTTTGACCAGCATTCTCCCCCACCATGTGAGCCAAGTCACCGCCAGGTAGTGGTCAGTTGACAGCTCGGCCCCTCTCTTCACCCGAGTGTCCAAGACATGCAGCCACAGGTCAGATGAAACAACAACAAAGTCGATCATCGAGCTGCAGCCTAAGGTATCCTGGTGCCAAGAGCACATATGGGCACCTTTATGTCTGAACATGGTGTTCATTATGGACAATCCTTGACTGGCACATAAGTTCAATAACAAAACACCACTCGAATTCAGATCAGGGGGGCCGTTCCTCCCAACCACACCTCTCCAGGTCTCACTGTCATTGCCCACGTGAGCGTTAAAGTCCCCCAGCAGAATGAGGGAGTCATCGGAAGGAGCGCTTTCCAGCACCCCCTCCAAGGTCTCCAAAAAGGGTGGGTAGTCTGAACTGTAATTTGGTGCATAAGCACAGACCACAGTCAGAACCTGTCCCCCCACCCGTAGGCGGAGGGAGGCTACCCTCTCATTCACTGGGGTAAACCCCAATGTACAGGCACCAAGAGGGATGGCAACTAGTATGCCCACCCCAGCTCGGTGCCTCTCAGTGGGAGCAACTCCAGAGTGGTAGAAAGTCCAACCCCTCTCAAGGAAACTGGTTCCATAGCCAGAGCCATGCGTTGAGGTGAGTCTGACTATATCTAGTCGGAACCTCTCAACGCCACACACCAACTCAGGCTCCTTCCCCACCAGAGAGGTGACATTCCATGTGCCAAGAGCCAGCTTCTGTAGCCGAGGATAGGACCGCCAAGGTCCCCGCCCTCGACTACCACCCAACACACACTGCACCCGACCCCTTTGGCCCCTCCCACGAGTGGTGAGCCCATGGGAAGGGGGACCCACGTTTGCTCTTCAGGCTGTGCCCGGCCGGGCTCCATGGGTGAAAGCCCGGCCACCAGGCGCTCACTAACATAATAATAAATAATCTTTACTTCTCAAAAGGAAACTGCTTTATGACACAAAAGCAGCAAAAAATAAATAAAATAAAATAAAAAGAATACTAGTGATAATAAAAACATGGAAATGAATGCTATATATAATCTATTGTAATTATTACAGGTTTTTATAACTAATGATAGTTTATGCTTTGCCAGAATGGTCCAAATATGAGATAAATCTAATGTTTGCGATAATAGACCATGATGGCACCACAGAGGACTACACAGCCAGAGATATCGCACATTACTGGGTAAGACCAGCAAATGGGATTTTATTCATTCGAAGGTGATATGAATCCTATTTAAATGTTTACTATTATTTCAATTGTATATGTTATAATAAGCTGCAACTAGTTTGTAATAAGCCATAATAACTGTAATAAGCTGTAATAACTTGTAAGCTATAACTGTAATGATGTGGAATAAGCCATATTAACAGTGTAAATAAGCTAGAAAAGTTGTAATAAATTTGTAATACGTTATAATAAATGTCATAAGCAGTAATAGCTTCATAATAATATGTAATAATGTATAGTAAGCTATAATAACAGCATAATAAGCTATAGTAACTGTAATGACTGTGTAATAAGCTAGAATAACTAACAGTGTAATAAGCTAGAATAACTGACAACTTTGTAACAAGTTGTACAAAAATGTAATAAACTGTGATAACGCTCCTCTGATGTTTGCTGTCCCTACAGCTCAGAACTGTTTTGCCCTCCAGCGTCTATTTACCCAGAGTGTCTGTGTTTGAAATATACAGGTAGGAAAAACATTTTCAGCACTGAAGTTGTGCACAATTTTAATAAACTCCCTCACGTGGCACCAGTTAAACCTTGATTACCTGCAGGAAGGTGAATAAATGCAGAGTATGCTAAGTTCCTCTGATCTCTTACACAGATCCAGCACAGAAAACCACATAAAAACATCCTCTAAAGACATGATGGTAAGCACGCAGGAGATAAACCTACAGATTGCACAAGAAGCTTCTTGTTTAAAGCAAATACAACCCTGCCAGGGGTGATGCTGATACCAAATAAGAGACAAAAAGGTTGAAATAACATCAAATCTGAGATGCTTGAGAAACATTTAAAATATTTCCCTTTATTCTAATCCTATTACAAAAACCTAAAGACACTGGATTTCCACGTGAAATTTGATTTTAAATGTTTATTTTTTTTGTTTTTGTTTAGATGCGGTGGGCTCCAGAAAATATCACCAGGTTTACGCTTTTCTAAATGTTTCCCTGTGTTAGCTTTCTATCTGCACCTAAATGGTTAACTTGAGAACAAAGGATCACATTACTGAAAGATATTTCTTGCTACCTTTAGAATATTGTTGGTATAATGGTAGTAAAGAGTAATTTGGAGAATGATAAACACATGCAAAATGCATAAAGTTGCAGATAAGAACTGCTAAACTCTTGATTTGAGCAGTTACGTCAAACCAACTTTTAATAAAATTACCATACGTTTATTTTCTTAACCCTCCCTTCCCTGTACAGGTTTCACTGCCTGGCTCATGTTAATATAATTCCCAAAAAAGATGTTGCAGCTGCCCAGAATGACATGTACAAGTACCTTAACAGCCCCTACAACAGCCCCAGTGGGCAGCTGCAGCTGCTCCTTGATAACACCAGCATCCAGACCACGCCACTCGGTAGGAACAGTTCATGCATGAAGGTTCATGTTTGGGAAATTAGCAGAAAATCTGATGAGGAATCCGTTTCCCCAGAGAATTTTTTCCCTACGACCACGAGTCCTCCCACTCTGACGACGGGTTCCATTCCCGTCAAAACCACTACGTCAGGCTCTTCCCCCAGCACCACGCTGAAGATTACTACCAGTGTGATGGTTTTTCCCAGTAAAGCCACAGACGTCCCCTTCACCACAAGCCCTGCAACCACCTCTGGTCAGTTTCTCTCTGTTTTACTTTTTTATACAGATTTATTGATGCAAGCTGCTGATTTGTCTTCGCCTCACCAGATGAACTGTACTTTGAGGTGAAGGTGAATGTGTCCATCACAGGAAACTGTAACCCGCAACAGATTCTTCCAATCTGGGTATGTCAGTCGTGCACAAGCAGCCTCTGAAGAAATAAGGACAGTTGAAGTTTTCTAGTATGAATAGAGGAGATGTTGCTGCTCTCCACAGCTGAACACCAGTCTACCCAGTGGCCTGGTGGTGCTAGACCTACAGCTGCTCCTCAAAGTCCAAAGGTAGGAGAAAAGCTGAAGCTGGTACTTTTATCACTCTTCTATTAAAAAAAAAGACAATTATCCATCTTGTTTTCAGACGCCAGCGTGACCTGCTGCTTTATAACTCTGCTTCAAATAAAGTAAGTTTAAATGCTGAGGGGGTTTGGGATCCGTGGAAGGGACTTTTGAAAGATATTTAAGGTACACATGGCCAACTGTTGCTCTAATCCTCTAATAATATGTGAGTTTAAGGCAAGGCAGCTTTATTTATAGCAAATGTCACACAGAGGCAATTCAAAGTGCTTTCCATGAGCAAGAATAGCAATTTAAGGTACTTGCCGGAGGATTTGTTACCTTTATTATTATTCTTCTGAGGGCTCAAACAGCAGCGTGCACCCCACAAATTTTACATCAAAACGACCGGCTCGGCCATGGAAAGTGTGCTATTACTTTTCTAAGCAATCTGATTTACTACGGCAAAGTAATTAGGGGAAAACATTGGAAAAATGCCTCTTTAACTGGCCTGTCCATTTTCCAATTTGACAAGCTGATAGGGTGGGGGACGGGGGGGATCTGTCTCCCAGATTCAGATCCGTCCCCCGCACTAAGGCCAGAAAGAAAACAAAATCGGAGGTTAAGCGCTTGAAGCTCATTTTTCCAATTACACTGAATGAAGCATGACGTAAACAAACACCGACTCCAGAGGCGCAAAAGTGGTTGATGCTAGGATGCAGGATGAAGTGAAAAAGGCAAGCAACGATTACTGCGTATTTAAAAAAATCCAACAGTGTAAGTAGGCTGGACCGATCCATTTGCTTATGCATGTTGGTTCTAGTTTCAGTACGTTGTTGTCAGTGTTGGGACTTACTCGTTAAAAGCGCCAAAGCCTCATTGCTGACTTTAACAAGTCTCATCTACAAATATGTTCCCTCATGAAGTTACTACTTTACACCAGAAGATAGTGGAGATGTGTAACCTTCAGGCTGAGCAAAGTTTGGGAGATTTTAGAGTTTGAAAAACGCCTCCCACTGAGAGGCTCCCAGTTGGGGAGAGGAGGAGATGCGCGCAACATGAAGAGCGCAAATATTACACAAAACGTATAATTGCCGGCAGGTCTGGTCTTTGTTGACTGATCACTTTGTCTAGTAATGACTGACTCTGATTATGAAGCAGAATATTGACTCTGATGAAGAAATTCACTCATCCAGCCGGGAAGATTGACGCTGCTGCAGCATCAGACAGCTGGTGCTGCACGAGAGGTGTGTGGAGTTTACAAGCTCCAAACGTTGGGATTGATGTTGGTTTAACCTTCTCTGGGACGTGATGGATGTAGAAATGATGGTAAAACACCGCAAACGTGACAGACGTAGCAACAATGTAAAAAAAAAAAGCCGTAAAAAGAGGCCAATGCGTTACATGTGGAAGTCAAGTGTGCCACATAATCATAAAAAAAGTAAAATATAAAATTTAAAAAGAGATTTATATATTTATATATAAATAAAAATTTTCAAAGTATAATGAAAATTTCTAAATACCGTAACGTAAAAATACGAAGGAACATCTGTTGGTCAGGCTGAAAAGTTTGGGAACTACTGCTCTAAGTGATAAGTGAATATTGTTCTTATTATATTTTATGTGCAGTTTTGTAGGGTTTTTATGTTTTCTGTAAAGATTGGTATGCTGAAAATCTTTTAATGTTTCGCATAAAGCATGAGGTTTTGGTTAGTAATTGATTGGGAGAATAACAAATGACTGATTTAAATAGTGGGGCGCCTCTGTCAGTGCGCCCCAGGGCAGCTGTGGCTACATCTTAGCTCATCACCATCAGTGTGCGAATGTGTGTGAATGGATGAATGATACACTGTAGTGTAAAGCGCTTTGGAGTCCTTACTCTGAGAGGCGCTATACAAGTGCGGATCATTTATCATTTATAGTGTTGATCAGGCAGAGCTTTGTTGCCAGCGTTCCACTGCATAACGGCTTCAAACACGTATATAAAAGTGTTCGTTTTTACGTAAACCATTGGATGAAATTACACAAAGTGACTGAGCTCTAGTTAAGGCGCTTGCAATAGTTTGTTTATGTGTGTGTGTGTGTGTGTGTGTTTGGGGGAGGGTACATTGGAACTTTGTCCCCCCCAGTTTGAAAATCCTATCTGCGCCCCTGTCTACGCTTAATTACAAATAATAAAATAAATGCTAAACATTTCTAAATAGACTCAGATTATTTCTATCTGCATTGTGGTGCATCAGGATAGACGCGTTTTACACTAGCCCAATATCTTTAAACCGTGTGATTTTTGCAAAGGTTAAAAAGGCTTGGCTGGCCTTTTAGCATGGGGTTGACTCCAAAAGCAAATCTATTAAGGATGCTAAATGTTTTGACCGTGTCTAGTTTAACTGCAACTGTAACTTCTCATTCTTCCAGGGGTCTGCAGTCAGCATTTCAAGGTTTGTGTCATTTCTCCTGCAAACTTTTTTATCACATTCTACTAAACTTGAATGGTCTAAAAAAATCATATTTTAAGCCATTTTTCCAGGTTGGGTTATTAGATTCATGCAGCCAATGACTAACTCTGCCACTGCCTGCAGAGAGAGCTTCATTTTCCAGGTCCAAGTCTTGATGCCCCTGTCAGACATGGAAATAGAAGAAAAAATAAGGCAGCATCTACTTAAGCCTTTCGACTATGAATCTGTCTCCATAGCAACCGAGGACATACAGATAAGTCGCATTTGTGAGTACAACGGTGGAAGATCACCAGCTGCAATATGGATTCTTTATTTCTAATTTAAAAACCCATTCTGACCCTTCTCCAGTGATATTCAGATGTAACGGAGACACCCAGCACACTCTAAAGGGTCAGTTCAGATGGCCGGACACTTTAGGAGGGAAAAACGCCACGCTCACATGCCCAAAAAACCCCAGTAGTTCCGCCACCCGGCACTGGTAAGAGCTCCAGCGGTTAACACAATCATATTTAAGGGGATTACGCGTTTAGCTTTGTTGTCAACTGAAACGCAGAACATCAGCAGGACCTGGGGAGGGCAGGTTTTATTTGTGATCAAACAAAAACACAAAGACAAATCATAAAAAAGGCTCTGAAGAATCATAACCGCTGTGATTCATTCGAATATTTACAGGTGTGATTGATTCGTGCATTTGGGTGTTTATAACTGTCAACATTAGTTTAAGGCATCAACAAGTACAGGGCTGAGTATCGATTGCTTCCATTTGTACATATTTGCATGGTTTTGTCACCGCGTCCAGGAGTCGGCCTATTGACTTAGTGTCAAAACACCAAATAATGGGTGTGTAATAAAAGCCAATGATGGTTTGTTAAATGATTCCCAGATCTAACATTTCATTCTGGTCTCTGGTTTGTAGATGTTATCTGCTACAATGGATGACGCTAATAAATCTATTTCCAACTTGTCTGACAGCAAACTGTGTGGCTCAACCAACTGGATGGATCCAGACCTGGAGGACTGCTCTCCATTGGTGGAAACCATCCCTGACCTGGACCATGTGGACGTCACCCCTGGTGTGTTCCACCTGCATTTGGGAAAAGCCGTCTACTTCAGCTTAAACTCTAACACGCCGATCATCCCCGATGGTGGTTAATCACCTCCAACCGTTAAGAGAAAGACGTGTTTTTGACATTTAGCATCATTACAACTGAGACTATCTGGCTTATCGACAGCTAATGATCATGTCAGCTGATGAACTCTCGTTGCCATGGTTTCATTTGGCAGCCAGACATTAACGTAATTAAAATAAAGAAGATATCAAGCTGTGTGAGCTTTATCTGGAGATTTAACAGGAGAATGCTGTTGGATGCTAACAGAACCAGATTAATGACAAACTGGTGCTGTTGCAGCTAAGATCTATACTCTGTTTAAAAGGCAAATTTCACTTAGACAGGTTAAGGTCCGATTTAGTTGGTTTGTCTTTTCTATCAAACTGAAGATTGCATTGAGTACAGGGTCCTTGGTCAATAAGAATCAGTTCCTCCACGTATCTCTAGATAATGCTCTGGGTGTGGTGGAGACGATCGAGGACCTACTGAGAAACCACTCCACTCTCCTCTACGATGAGCTGGTGACAGTCCTCAACAAACTGAAAGACATAATTAACGTCAGCGTGGTCACGCCGAACCTCGGCCAGGCTCTCATCAACATCATCTCAGACATCCTGGAATCTGACAGCAACCTGGCACCTTTTACCAACACGTAAGGATGTGGAGCTGAATCGAGAATCCAAGTCAATGTCTTACATTAACATTAGTCTCTCTGCCTTCCTCTCCAGTATTTTAAACATTACCGAGTCGGTGGGAGACAGTATGGTGGGATACGAGGGCTCATCCACCCTAGTTGCTGAAACTGTTGCGATCTCTGTGGTGGATGTGCATCCTGGAGAGTTTGACAGCTTAAGTTTTGGAGTTCTGACGGACCGGACCGGCGCAAAACCAGAGGTCACCAAACATTTGTTTTTAATCTCATCTAAGTTACACACAGCCCAGATTGAGAACAATAGGATTTTTAATGATAAATTAAGGAGTTCTATAACAACTTTTTATTTTTATTTTATTATTATTATTATTTTTTTTTACAAATTTAAAACTGTTCGTGAGTCTCTTAAGTGTCATATGAAACCTTATTGGGACTCTCAATATTCCAGGGCCCTTGATAAATGGCCAAACACAATCCCATAATAAAGCCCTACAATAGAAAGGCTGGATTGTCCCACCAGCTCAGCCAGGACTTGAATATTAAATAAGCTGCGTGCTGATTGGCTGGTTTGCCCCGCAGGCTACATGATGCTGCCTAAAGCTAGAAACTCAGCACAGCCGTATCTGGTTAACTCAGGCAAACTGTGAAGCCTGAACACTACACAAGTACTCTGACAGTTTTCCTCTTGTCCAACAAAGACAAAGCAGTAGCTTGGACTGGCTTTAACAATAGATTGGGCTAGCCTTAGCAAAGGCTTGGGCTAACGTTAGCAGGTTCTCAGGCTAGCGTTGTTCTATGGTTAGCATTACCTAAACCAACATTTATAATTCTGCCAATGTTCAGGTGGGTTGGGACATGTTAATGTGTGTCTAAGCTCATGATATGGTATCGCAGTTTTTCTTAGAACAGTTTCTCAGCGGCCATTACAACATTACTAATTTGCATAGAAAAGCAGGTCAGAGACGGAGCAGACTTCTATACGGTTTGCTACATTGAACACTGTAAGCTGCCTATATTCAACAACAGAAAGGTACATGTGTTTTTGAATTTCCTCTAAAAAAAAAAAGCACCAAATGTGTTAAATTTGCCCAAAATCCTAAAAGCTACTAGCCTGGGAAGCTATCCTACATATATGAATATATAGTCTGACCACGACAAGTAGATAGATCTCAGTAATAGGGCAGAATCTATGGTTGTCTTTAACCTTTCTCTGCTTGCTATTGGACAACAAAAAATGTGATGTACTTCGGAGCAGTCCGCCAAACTTTGTCAAAGAAGACACAAATAGAACCTTTTTCTAAATAAAGGACTTAAGTACCTCTATCTGCTCAAAGGAAAGCCCAAGTCTAAATAGTCCACAGATGCCAAAGCCATTTCAACCAAGCTGGCGCTATTTTAGTTGTTCCACTCAGTGGAAGCAACATCCCACCCACCAAACCGAGCGCTGTGATTGACAAGACTGATCGGACTTGCTGAGGCACCTGTGGAGCGTGGCTGGACTGACCTGCAGAGCAAAATCCTTTTGCTTCTGCTACGGTCTGTCTTTCTATGCTAAAAGTCTACAGCTACTGCTAATGCATTCAGTCCGAGACAAAATCTGGTATCACATAAGAGTCAGTAAAATGCCTTAAAATGTTTGCATGTTCAAATGTTAACTGAACTGCAGAGCCTTGTTGTCGTGTGGCTTGAAATCGGAACGTTTTGCAAAATTCTTTTTATTTTTTTGAGTACTCATCGCAATTCTGTCTTAGCCCAAAGGGAGAAATTTCATACAGTTTTAGGAAAGGTTGGAAATGAACCATAAAAATAATCAGATAACACCTTTGTAGTCAAACTGCAACAAACAAGTTTGCACATTTGCCTAACATTGTATGAAACTTCAGTATGATTCCAACTAACAGTCGCCCAGAGAGACACTCAACATTATTTACTTTATCGTATGTTGTAGATTTTTATCAACAAGTATCCCTTCAATGGCACAGTGGCGTTCATCTCTCTGCCAGCTGTCCTTCAACAGAACTTCCCAGAACACGGCCAGAACCCACCAAGAATCCAGTTTCAGTTCTACGGCAACTCGCTCCTCTTCAAGGTGCTCTTTACGTGTTTTTATTTAAACCGGCAAAACCTTTCTTATAACTGACAGTCTCGTCCATGCTAACTATTTTAAATGATTTACGTCTCCATCTTCAGGGCAGCAGACCAGGTCAGATCCTCAACACGTTTGTGGTGTCAGCCAGCGTGACCAACGCCAGCTCACCAATCACAGACCTCTCTGAAGAGATCAAAGTCACGCTCCTCCATCTCTGCCCCAACATGGTAGGAGCGTGCTCCCAACACCGCATAAGCATGAATAAATATTTATAAAACCTTTGAATAACGAGTGTTTCACGGCTCTCAGTTGGGGAAGGAGGTGGAGTGTGTGTACTGGAACTTCAATAAGAACAGTAAGTCCTGATCTGAGTCACTACTTATTTTTATTTGACTAAAAAGTGATAATATATGTCATCGTCTCCATCCAGATGGACACGGAGGCTGGGACAATCATGGCTGCCGAGAATACAACAGCAGCTCTGACTACACAACCTGCGTGTGTGATCATCTCACACACTTTGGAATTCTGTTGGTACGAACCGTTACATTCTGTCTGATCATTTCCTCGAAGGCTCAGACACTCGAGACAGATTTTAGTGGTGCAAATAGTGGTTTTAAAAAGCCTGTGGAAGTGGAAGATGAAGGAGAGAAGCTCAGTCTCGGTTTAGGCAGCAGAGGGCACTCAAGATACAAAAACTATCAATAAAAGTTTGACACAAATTCATAATTTCCTGCGTAGGAAAGCAGCCTCCTGATCTGTGTTGTTTTTAATGACCTAAAGACTTGCTTTCCAAATCAGGAACAAATGTTTTTTTTAACCTGTATTTTCTGTGATGAACTTTCTTCTGTCACTATCTGCTCAGGATGTCTCCCGGACTCAGGTAGACCCAGTTCATGAGCAGATCCTGACCATTGTCACATACGTAGGATGCGGAGTCTCGTCGTTGTTCCTGGGAATCACTGTTCTCACTTATACAGCTTTTGAGTAAGGCTAGGTTGTGATCTCATGTTTTTTTTTTCTCTCAACGTTAGAAATGCTAAAACATACTGGAACTCTGATTAAATATTTTAAAAGTTGCAGTTTTACCATGATTGAGACAAATATTTCCTTTTGTGTGATATCTAACTCTTTAATTTCCTCTCCAACGCTCTCTTCCATCTGTGATCCAGAAAGCTCCGTAGAGATTACCCCTCCCAGATCCTAATCCACCTCTCTCTGGCCCTGCTTGGTTTGAACCTGGTATTCCTAGTCAACTCCTGGCTGTCCTCCTGGGGTGTGTATGGCCTGTGTGTGGCAGTGGCATCCACCTTGCACTACTTCCTCCTGGCGTCATTCACCTGGATGGGATTGGAGGCAGTCAACATGTATTTTGCCCTCATTAAAGTATTTAACGTCTACGTGCCCTCGTACATCCTCAAGTTCTGCTTTCTGGGATGGGGTAAGTCAAAACTGACAATTTCTTTACCAAACATGACTTTTTTGGGTTATGACGTGTTTTAACTCCTCTTTCAGGGATCCCTCTGGTCATCTGTGTCATGGTGCTGATTGTGAACAGAGAGGCATACGGCGGTCACCACACACACGCACGCTCCACTTTCCAGCCGCTGGACAACTCTGACAGCTTGTAACGCATGAATTTAGTTGTTTTTGAATAACACTGACCGCTTAACAGCTGAACGGACTGTCTTATTTTCCAGGGGTGTAATAAAGAAAATTTGCATGGTTTACAATAATAAGTATAACACGGGACGTTATCTCTTCCATCGTAGAACAATCTCTCAGTATTTTTTCTCTTTGTTCCCTCAGCTGCTGGCTCCAGGACGATCTGACATTTTATGTATCTGTCGTTGCATTCGCAGCTTTGATTTTCCTCTTCAACATTGGGGTAAACAACTAACTATTCTCCAATTTGTGTTTCAGGAAGATGAATTCAAGAAAAACGTTCAGTCAACAAAAGCTGAAACGCTGTGCTTCTTAATTTAGAAGCTCTTACAGATGCGGTTCACTCGTTTAATCGAAACATTTGCAGTGGTCTCTAAATGGAAGGAAACCTTTGTAAGTCGCACTTGGGGGCAGTTCAGGAAGTACGAGTCAGCGGGAGGAGAAAGTAGCTTCAGACGGCAGGACTTAGTGATATTTCCTGATATTTGGACATCTCATCTCAGATTGTCTAACAGCAACGCGACTCTACTGCTGACTTGCTCTGCAATGTTGATGTTTTATCTCCACAAATGACAAGCCTGAAGGAGTTCTGCTGTGTGGTGGAGATGCTAATGCTAATGATTAGCTTCTACTAGTCAAGATGTTCTCTGCCGTTTCCTGGACAATGAACCAACATCCCTTTCCATCACCAGTTAAGATGGGTGATTCTATGGCCCAATCCCAATACTCACACTGCCACCCTTCAGTGCCGCGATCCTGTCCATGAGTGTGAGTGCATAGGGTGTTCTGATTCTTAAGTGCGGAAGTTGACCACACCCCTTTTGCCCTCATGAGCCACTTGGCCCAAGCCCACATCAATGCAGAATTGCGTGAAGGGTATTACCTACAATCCATTGCTGCATGGGAATTTTGAGAAAAAGGCAGAGCAAAGGCTTGTGTGCCTTTTCTTACTACATGTATATTCAAATGAAAGTAGTTCATTTTAGGATGATTAATGATATTTATTCATGCTCTGGATGTTTTAGACAAAGATTTAACATGGACATTAATGAATGTAAATTTGGTCAAATAATTGTTTAGTTGTTTTTTAAAGTTATTAAAGATTCTTAAAGAAAAGTAGTGCAAACATCTACCACAAACATAGTCGATGACGCTATGCTCACTGTCCCAATTTGGCAATTATTTGCACTCGTCTACCACGCAACCCTGCCGCAGCCTCCAACAAGTGTACGCCGTGCCAACGTTCTCTCTGGATGTAGCTTTTTGATTCACCTCCGGAGACTTTACTCCCTTCTTTTTACTTCCAGGCTTCGCCATGATGCAAACAAAAAAAAGCAAAATTTTTATCTTCTCACAGTTGGCAAACTGAAAAAGCTAACTGCTAGCCTTTATGTGAGCTACTGGCACAGTAATCTCTTCGACATGTAGTAAACTCTACCCTCACTGTAGCTCCACCTCTCACTTGTTCCTATCCAAAACACCAAAGTTGTTTAGTGCAGTTTCTGGCCAGCAGATGGCTGCAGAGTACTGACTCATGTGAAGCTGATCGGGTTTGAGGTTCAACAATCGCTGAAACCAGTTTAAAAGCAACAGTTTACGGTGTTAAAAACTCTTTAGTGTTGCTTTAACAATTAATGATAGGCATGGTTTTACAAGAATGTGGCAATTAAGTAGATATCACAATACAGGGGAGACAGTACAATATATTGCAAAACTAAAAGCTAGACAATATGTGCAAATTTTAACACTGAATTTAACTGGAAATCTCAGGCCAGACTATTCCAGGACACATCGTGTTCTCATGAGATCTCCATAATGGCGGTAAAAACTGCTGCCATCTAACAGTTTGAATTGCACCACACAACAGAAGTACGGTAAAGGTTTCCATGTAAATTCTCATTTTCAAAAATTGACACTGCTTCTTAATATTGATTCAGTATCATAACACAAATTTTGATATTTTCTTAAATCCCTAATTTAAGATATGAAACTTTCAAGTAAACTAAATAGTTTGAATGCAACCGTGTCTCCTGTGATTAGAGGTTAACAGAGCTCTTAAATTTCTCCCCCTAGATCTTTGTAGTGGTTCTCATTCAGATTCGCCACATGCGAGTCAATAGCCCTGCAGGAACCCAAAGAGGTCTTCTTCAAGACCTAAAGGGAGCTGCCAGTCTCACCTTTCTACTTGGACTAACGTGGACGGTTGGCTTCTTCACCTGGGGACCAGCAAGGATAGTTCTTCTGTACCTGTTCTCTGTACTGAACACACTACAAGGCTGGTGTTTTAAATTTTTTTAAGACAAAATAATGATAGACTAACACTACGGTGGAATTAAAACGACTTCTTTACTCTTTCAATAAGAATGTCTTTTCCCTTCTCTTAACATTATTTGGTTTATTCCAGGTCTTTTTGTGTTCCTGTTCCACTGTCTAATGAGGGAAAACGTCAGGAGACAGTGGAGAACTCACCTTTGCTTTGGACGATATCGACTTGACGAGCACTCTGGTACAATCTACCTACCATGTCACTTCAGCCACTGCTTTGGTTCATCTTGTATAGCTAGAGTTTGTTATGATGAGAATTATTTAAATCCTGGCTCGATTTCTGCTACTGGCATCTTTGTTCAGAATGGAGCAACTCGGCATCAATGGGAGCACTTCCAAAACCCAAAGAAAAGGCTCCAAGAGCAGCAATACCGTCTGTGCGCTCTGTCAAGTCCAACTCCACAGAAAGCACTTCAGCTTCTTCAGACTCCAGCCGCAGAGACTCGTCCTGCAGGAGACCGTACCTGGGTGAGAAAACACAACACAGAATAAAAGTACAGTAGTGATTGAAGATACGTTTTTCTAAAGCCAATGTAGAGGTCACGGTCAGCCGATGGCTGATACCAAAATGACAACGGTAACACTTTACAATAAGGGTCCTTTTATTACTGTTAGTGCGTTATTAAGCATTAATAAACTTTTAAATAAAGTATTAACAACTGCTTAAAATTAATGTTAATATCATGTAATGCACCTCACCCCTGTCCCTTTGTCCTAACCTAAGGACACTTAATAGTTAATATCAGGAATGTTAATAAAGGAATACTTTGTTAATGCTTAATAATGCATCATGTAGCTCAATAAAGGGACCCTTATTGTACAGTATTACCACAATAAATATCTTGCTTTGCATGTTGCAATTTAGCATAATCTGTCTTGTATTTTAAGTTGCATTACTGAAACGGATGAATGAGATTGTAATTTTGAGTTTCACTTGTAAATAAAGCAAATGGTAAATATCGGCCAAACAGTATCAGTCAATCCCCATATGGGAGTACTAAACGTAAGCTAAATTGATAAGGAAAAATGTTGGATTAATTATGCACAACTAATAATTACAGGGATCGTTCTGATTTGAATCTACGGAAAAGAAAAAGGTTGCAATTAAAAGTTTACTTTCAGCCTCCATCACATCAGACTCGGAACGACGCGGTCCGAGTCACAGTGAAGGTCACGTCTTGAATTAGTATCACTGCGATGACATTAAATAATTACACCACTTTGTTTAAACCAAACTAAAAGTGGTATTTCTAAAAGGGTTCCTTCACTTTGACAGTTCAATTTAAAGCCTGCTCTCCAATTCCCCGGCGTTCAGTCTTAACCAGCACAAAAGTGATTAGCTTCCCTGCACCTCCAAATGGCTCACAGATGTTTTGTTATCCTGCAGGTCTTTTTGTGAACAGCCTGGTTCTTCCTCGAGCCCAGAAGGGGCCCTCGGATGCAGGATGTCTGCCTTCCTTCAGGCCAACAAACCCAACACCTGGCTGAAGGAATCACTTGCTAAATGACCGAGGACAACATTAACCATTTAGATCAAATCAGTGGCATAGCACCAGCTTCATTAGATAATTATTTGATGCAGTTCAATTGTTGATTCTGTTTTTGCTAAATATTGTAAAAGAGCCTGTAATTGTGAAGACATGAGCAGTTGCATCAGTTCCAAGGAGGAGTTGGTTGCCAAGCAACTGGTGAGGCAAGCGATGGTGACAATGAACTGTGGCACATTTGGTGGAAAATAAAATATATATATATATATATATAATACATTTGCAAATTAAAAATGAGGTCCCTCATTGTTCTATTTTCTTTAGGTTTGACTAAACATTGAAATCATTCCTCAGTTAGCCTCTGCCATTTGTTTTGCTCCACTTGTGGTTGTGAGAGCCGTCCTGTTCCTGTAAAATCTGGCGCCTTTGATATGATCAGCATATGACGACTTAGTCATCCTGCCAAACCCTGCGGCTCACTTAAGATTTCACACATATTGTGTGTTTTCAAGCTAATGCTGTGAGGGGTCAATTTACAAAATGTTCTGTAATATATTACCAACATTTTTTTAAATTGTGTCTAAACAAATCTGCAAATGGCAGCATGATGTTTGAAGTACTAACAAGGTCATTTCTGCTGGCTACTCTGAAATCTCTGATACACATATTCTGCTTATGTGTTGATGTTTGCAGTTCATAAAATGATTTACATGTGGGAAAAGGATGCTAGATCATCTTAGTAAGCAGAAATGTTGGTTTAAACAGCCTTCTGTGTTGCAAGCTAAAAATGAGTGGCGAATAAGTACCATTCCTGCTGAATGAACATCCTGTCCGAGTACAGCCATGGAAATAAAAAGGGAGCAGGGTGAGTGATAATATGTATAGATGATAGTTCCCGTTTTCATGCTTAAACCATTTAAAATCAAGTTTTTCCACTCAAAACTCAATCAAATGGACATTTTCAGCAGTAGTCTTGTTTATTTTCTCCAACACAAACCCAAACATCAAACGGCATGCATTAAACAAAACGATACTTTAAAAAAATAACATGCAAACAGCATTAAAGAACAGGAGATGAAAGCTCAAAAGGAACTTTTGGAGAACTTGAGTGAGCATTCAAACGTTGAAGCAATCCACCAGTTTTTTAGAGTTCCAGGGTCCTGCTTGAAGTTTCAGAAACCGCTGCCTGACCTGGTCTTTGACCATCTGGTACTCGGTGGCTTCCATCTGGGATAAAAACAACAAAAGCATTCATAACACCATGTAACTGAACAAGGCAAAGCAAACAGTCAACACCAACAATGATTTACTTTTCTAATTAAATCATCTGCACACCTTGGCACTGAGGTAGGTAGGAAGATCACACAAGTAGCCGCGCTGACCCATTGTTGCTACTTGCCGGAAGTAAGTGTAGAGGGCTCTTTTGCAAAGTCTGCTTGAGAAGCCGGGCCCACTCACAAATGGCGAGCTGGGGGACAACATAAAAAAGAATGAGTGTTATTTTGTTTTGACAGTGTTACTTCATATATTTGTTGCAAAATAAAGTTTGCGTCCCTAAAGATATAAAAGAAATGTTGTTAGAAATCTGATCAATCAGGTAAAAGGCACACTTTGTAACATTTTCATTTTTTAAAATCATTTTCTTGAGCCAGTATGTGCTAAAATTACCCTTTACAGGGTTAATGAAATGTCACTCAGACCTCCACTGCCCTTTGTGAGAATACCACACTTGCAACTTCCGAGTGCCAGTCCCGTCCCTGTTGGACTTAGTAAAAGTGGAGCCGAGATGCTGACGCTGCTGTCTGGTTCTAGCACTTTCCTGCATGTTTTAGAACACAGCTGATTTGTTTGATTTAGTGATGAATCACTCCTGTAGACATTAATGAAGACTGGGGAGAAGTTTCAGCAGTTAAAGTGTTAAAAGACAAACGCACAGCAAGGAGATAAGCTTCACTTCTGATTCTACTAGTAGACACGAGCAGGTGCTACAAGCAAGCCAAGACCTAGTATTCCTTTTAAGTGACAGTGTGTATTTTTCCTGGAGATAGGGGGCAGTAGGTACCTAAATCATTGCAAGCAAGCAGTATTCTTGTGTTGGAGTAAAACCTTACTAACAGATGCCTATTAGGGCCAAAAAGCCCTGGGGAGTGAAAACTTCAGCAAAATGACAAGCACACCACACCTCCTTTCATCGCTGGCAACGAGTGAAGAGGTAAATGTGTAAAACACTGCTTATGAATGGAGAAAGTTTTGTAATTGTTACAAATCAGTAAACGCATTTTGTTCTCATGGGCTCCCATAGAAGGAAACATGGCATTGAACATGGCATCCCCCCAGAGACTTAGGGTGTGTCCACGGGCAGGACGCTTGTGAGGACGCATTTTGAGGTCGATGATGTCATAGCGCAACGAGGAGTACTGTACGAATTCCAAGAATACTCATTCTCACGTCCTAAAATGCGTTCTTGCTCCACCCACATTTCGAGGATGGGTCTGGTGTATCCTCACAGAACAAGGCCATCCCAGCATGCTTTGCGCGCCAGCTGTGGATTTTTAACAGGAAGGGAAAATGGGGAGAGCAAAGTTTTAAACGTAAGTTTGTTTAAAAACTAGCAGTAGAAAACTAAAAAGCTTAAAGTGGTTCTGTTTATAGACATTTTTCGCTTGTATATTTGTTTTTTAAATTACATTTTAGGCAGAAATCAGCTGGAACAAGCTTGTATCGCGGGTCCCGTAGTTATTCCCGTTTGTGTGTGTGTGTGTAGCGATTTAAGCTTGTCATTTGTTTTAGGGACAAGAGTTATTTTTATTAAGCTTAGAGGTGAAGAGTGAAGCTGTTTACATGTGACTACAGAAGTTCTTCGTGTGTTCTGCTGTGAAAAGTACAGTTTTGCATTCACACAGTTAACATGTTTTAAAGAACAATTAAAATTGTGTGTGTGTGTTTCCTTAGCAAATTAAGCTTCTTATTTATTTAAGGACAACAGAACAAAGAAGCTTTTTATTAAGGTTAGAGGAGAAGAGTGAAGCTGCTTACACGTTACTACTGAAGTTCATCATGTGTTCTGTAAAAAGTACAGTTTTACATTCAGGGGTTTACACAGTTGACACATTAAGAACAAATAAAAATAGGTTGTGTGAATAATATAATTTTTATTTTCTCACGTGGATAAAAGTAGAAATGTGTTTATTGCCTTTTTGCCACCTTCTCTCTCTGATTTTCTCTGTTTAGGACTGCGGGTGTCCAGTGCCAGGAGAGGCTTTACCCTGGTGGTCCTCCTGGGAGAAAGGCCTTCTGCTGTTACGTTAATGTTATTTAGTTGTTTGATATTTGAACACATTTATTAAAACAAATAACTAACTGATAACTCATTTTGATCATTCATTTAATCATCAGTTTTATTATTTGCAGATATTTTTGAACATATTACATTAACAGAAAATTAAGATGGTAAGGAGACAAGATTATTTATAAAACGTGACAATTATTTACAGACCAAAACAAATATGGACCAGTTATGAACGGTTAAAGCAGAATTAACTTGAGTTACTGTTTTCCTGGAGCATTTATTTAAACTGAGTAAACAGGAAGTCTTAAGTGTAGCTGGATCTGCTGCAGGAGGATCCCAGATGTGGATGGAGGCTGGAACAGTCCCCTCGCTGAACGTTTCTGGTCAGAGGATGGATCATCATACAGGACGGTCTGCAGTGAGAGGTTTGGGATGCTTCCTCTCACTGTCCACTCCATCGTCCATCTACAGCGACTGCTGGGCTGGCTCAGACAACGGCTGTTACATCTCTAAGACGTATTCAGAAATATGAAATGAGGAGATGGTTTATGGATCCACTACTATAACAATTGTGACTCTTCAGCAAATAAAAACAATGTTGTTTTTAATAGAGGTTCCTACATAAATGACTTGCCTGTTAACAGTAGGGGTGGTTTGCTGGTACCTCCTCCAGGACAAAACACCGCTGACCTCCTCCACACACATCTTCCTCAGGCTCATCCTCCAGTGTTTGTCCAAGCCCACAACTTCACCAGCACAGAGGCAGATGTGCTGAATAGTGCATACTGACTTGTAATAGATAAAAAAGTTTTTTTTTAATAGAAAAATGTAAAACAACCCTATAACTTACAGTGCATTGGTTCTGTTCTGTTTAAAAGAAAAGCAGCAGGGAATAGTTAAATAAAAACTACAGAGAATTTACATTTTTAAGACAGATCTAATCATTATTAGGCCTAGGTTTAAAATACAAATGCACATTGAAAACACTTAAAAAACAGGCCTTTTGGTTAGTTTTCATGAACAAAAAGCCTGTATTTTTTACACCCACTTGATGCAAAATAAGAAGTTCTAAGGTTTAATTAACATTAGAAAAAATCCTACTGCATTCAACTTTTATAATGCATTTTGTTTAAATGAATTACCTACATGTTAATACTCTGTAGAAATGTATTGTGTACATTTAACCACAGTTCATTCTGTAGCTTAACATACATGAAACGATCTAAAGTTAACATGAAAAGTCCTGAAAGCTTGTAGAATAAACAAAGTTTACCTGGAAACGGTTGTGAACAAACACCGCTGATCGATTTTCGCTAGCTTTAGCATTATTCCTTTGCGTGTTAGCTGCTGCCACGGCTGTGGCCACCGTAGAGGTGAAGGCTAGACCGTCCAAATTCAGAGCCGCTGGTTTCCGATTTTAGCGGTCGAGCAAGGACCGGACCTAGCTGGACCGGTAAGGACCCATCCTCACAAGCATCCTGCCCCTAGATTCGGACACACCCGTAGACCTGCTCCCATGGATTTTTGAGCGGATTTTGATGTTATATGTTAAAAAAACTGCCAATAATTTTTAACAACTGGGCATCATTTCATTCATTTTCAGCAACATTTTGATGGATATTTCCAGAGATTGATGATAAAACTACACACTGTCTCTTTAAGTGTTAGGCTGGCAAGCCATCCTATATGTGAATATATAGCCTGACCACGGTCCATTGACGGCTCTCATTCGTGGGGCGGGATCTACAGTTGTCTTTCAAACGTCTCCACATGCTATTAGGAACAAACGCGACATACTCAATGTTACGGATGCCAGTCAACAAAGCAGTCCACCATACTCCTTCAAAGAAGACGCAAATATATAATTTTTCTAAACATAAGTACCTCTGTCTGCTTTAGACTCAAGAAAAAACCCATCAAAATAGTCAAACATTGATGCCAAAGCTTTTTAAACAAGCTGTCCCCATCTCTTTGTTTTATCAGTAACATTTCTCTGACCAACAGAGCGCTGTGATTGGCCCACCAAACCAATAGAGCGCTGTGATTGGCCCACCAAACCAATAGAGCGCTGTGATTGGCCCACCAAACCAATAGCGCTGGATATGAAACATGTTTCAGCATAACCTTCCTTCCAAAATGACTGAAACATTAAGACTCTTTTGGGATTATCTCACTGTTACATTCCCACTATAATCTTACATAATGCACCTTTAATAAACTTATCAGCCATATCATTAAAGGCTTTGACTTATGTAGGCATAATACAACATTTAACAACAAGGATCATTTCATCGCTGGAAAAAAAAGAAGCCATAATTGCATTCTGATGAAAGCAGAGGTGACATTGCCTCTCCTCCATTCATTTTCAATGAGACATGCGCGACAAAGCGATCATCGCGGGCGGGTCTCCCTCCTACTAAGCGAAACGTGAAAAACGTGCGTGTGAAATTTTGTGCTTGTGCACGTGTCGTGCACAGGCGACCCAGCAACGCGATCCCAGAAAGTTGAAATATTTTCAACTTTTCATCGCTGTCGCTCGGACGAGGCCCAATCAACGGAGGTTTCATTCACTGATCAATGAGCGGACAGGATGCTCCGTACATCTCCGAGCAAACATGAAGGAGAAGTTGATTATTATTGTGTTTTATATAGTAAAATCAGAAGTAAGATTTCACATAACTCTAGCAGCACCTTGTGAAACATCATATCTACCACTTAATTAACTCTGAACCGCTTAAATAACCTTAATTCCCTCCAACCTGACACAGCCAAACAAAACAACAGAAGTTTCAATTTCGCCATGGAACAGAACGCATAGATGGCTTTGCCGCTGCCATGGGTCGCCTCCCGTGTGTCAGGTAATAAAAGCGACGGATTTCGCTGATCGCAGTTGTTTGTCGCCTCCCGTGTGTCGAGCCCTTTAGAACTTTAAAAGTCAGAGTTAAGGTTGCAGGAGAAGAATTAAAGCCGACACCAACACTGTAAGTAATGAGTAGAGGAGACAAATCTGTCCAGCACTCCAGCTAGTGGATACCAACTGTTGTCTGCATTTCCAAATAAAAACCATGGCAGGAGCCCCAGGCCATACAAGGGCTGTCAAACACGCGGCCACACGGGACAGCGTCAACACTTCTACATCAGAGAGAGAAGCAGCAGGCAGGAACAGCACATCTTCTGGGTCATATCATTTATTCCACCATCTTGTTCAACTAGTTAAGAAAATAAAATAACAAAACATGACTGGTTGTAAAAATAAATAAATAAATGAATGAAAAGGAGACCTTACCCCTCAACAATGATGCCTTGGCTGCTGTCCAACACTTCAATGTCCTCATCTCCAAGACACCAGTTGATGGTGGGATGGTCATGCACTGGGGAGTTTATGGCAGGTGTGATGGGGTCACCGCTGAGAAAGATGATGTCATGCTTCTTGTAAGTCGGAGGAAGAGTATCTTCCCATCCATCAACTAGTCGATTGTTGGTGAAATCAGACACTTCTGTGCTTAAAGACACGTGGCCTCCTAAAATTGAATTATATGAAATGACCAAATCTCTGTCACATGTTCATGTCCGTTATCAAAGTGTAAAAGTACAGAAAAGCAGTCTTTTAATCCATCTATTACCAAGTAACACAGAAAAATATCCACTTTACCCAACACTATGCTGGTGATGTAAAGGGGCTGAATGAAGTGGGTCAGTAAGGCCCCCTGAACCCCTGTAAGAGCCCAGCAACACAGCTTGTCACTGCCAGACATGCAGCAGACTCTGGCCCCCCACAAGCTCGGCTCGAGGTGAGCCACGGGGACGAGCTGGCCTTTGACGTTATACCGCAGCGGGGTTGGAGTTCCTGCTGAAGCCCTAAATGGGAAATTATAGCATAAATTAACAAAAATGTGTTAAAAGGACAAAAATATTCCCTCTGAATGGGCCAAACACAGCCTATAAGTCTGAATTTATTTTTTAAATCTAGGTTACACCGATACATTTTACACGCAAAATACAAAGTCCAAATGACAAAGACGGTTAAACAGCTTTACTTGATGTGAGAGATCCTAGCTGCTCCCTCGGGGCACTGATTGGTGTAGAGATGCAGGCTGACTTTGGGTCTGAGCTGCAGCTGGTGGCCGTCTGCAGCTCTCTCAAAAATACACTCGTCCTTGGCCTTTGGATCAGCCTCAGAGAACAGCAAAAGCTGCTTGTACAGAAACCTGAACACAAGCCAGTGCAAAAAAATAAAGAAAATAAACATTCTCCGTAGTCGTTTCAGTCAAACACACACCCACTGAGCCAGTCTGCCATCATTATTGACCGCTTTCCTCTCCAGCCCTTCAGAAATTCAACCCTCAACGATGAGCATTCTTGAGATTTGGATGAGATGGTTATTCATTCACTAAAGGAGCATTTCATACCTCAGGAGAGCCCTTCTTGCGATGACGATGGCATGGCAGTCGTGAACCATCATCCCATTGTAGCGGAGCCATGCATCACAGCTTGAATGGCCGGCTCCCACCGCCACAACCCTGTAATGCTCGTGTGGATGACCCGCTGAATCCAACAGTTCTGTAAGAAAAGGAAAACAACTTAATAAGGAAACAATTAGGATGAAAGCGTAAAGATGTGTGGGAGGCTTACCCATCACCAGAACGAAGACGGCCAGGTGGCTTTTACAGCCGTGAAGATCAGGATACGCCTCCAGCAGACTGTCAAACGTCACGCTGCTTATAGCCGCCATGTGCTCCTTGTGCCAGTTGGTTTGCCAAACTGAAAAATAAACTAAAACTAAGATCTTTCCATATGATCTACAACCACTTAGTTTACTTTGTGTTTTTCAGGTAAAGGAAACATCAGGCGTGTAACATACATGTATTTGTACTTTTCAGTTGTTACAGACAAGTTCCCACAGGGACGTGTAACTGTGTTGCACATGCTAGCCGTTAGCCAGAAAACACGAGCACCCTTCAAAGACGTCCAACTTCAGAGTGTTTCCTGCTGCCAACCAACGGCGCCATCACAAATTAAAACTAAACCTAATGGTGACACGAGCTGCATCTGTCCCCTGATTAAACGGAGACCATGTGGACAAATGAATGTTTCTAGTAAAATACATAAAAAGGTGGTTTTCTAGATTTACTAAAATATCTGTCTCTGCTTATTTGATTGGTAGTTTTTGCTTTTTATCAGACTCCAAATGTAATCATTTGGCACATTCCTAATTCTTAATTTGTAAGAATGTAATTGGCAATATTAGCATTAGCATCCCTAAGGGGTTTTCCATGTATATTAGCATTGTGCTAACCACTAGCAGCAAATTGTAGCCTTTGCAATTAGAAAATCTTTTTGTCACATTGCAATTTAATTGCATATGCAATTAATGGTTTAGCCCTAATTTAAATGTCATTAAAGCTGTACTCGTTGGCATAAAATGACTTTTTCCACACACACTGTTCAACCATTGTATCAAAAGTAAACCAAACCGGGATTATAGGCATACCGTTACTCCCTTAGCAAGTAACCAACATGTTGCACTATTTTCTGCAGCTACTGCATGTGTAACCCTTTTGTTTCGTGTGGTTTTACATTAGCCAAGAGCAGTTCCCACAGGTCACACAGGCACTTGAGATTTTATGGTTTTACTTCTACGCAGCTCAGTACCTTCAGTCTTGGCCTTTTCCTCTGCATGGAAGTCCTTGATCTGATCTTCATCTGAGAGTATGCTCTCAGGAGGTGACATACCACAGAGAGAGAAGGTGGCAATATCATCGTCATCACTAGTCTCTTCATCCTGAGAGAAACAAACACACTCAGGACTAAAGGTTGGTTTATGCCTGACGCGTCCGCGAGGTCCGCACGGCTCCGCGTGGAAAAGTTGCATCATTTTAACAACCACGCCCCTCCACCGCGCCTCCGCACGGCCCAAAATTTCTGCAACGCGCACCTAGGAAATTTTCTAACCACGCAGACGGTCGGACGTGGAAAAACATGGCGGACCGGCAAGAAATAGTATGGCAGAGGTTCGTAAATACAGACATTTGTATGATTCAGCTCTCAAAGATCACCGTGATCAACATGTTGTTAATAATTCTTGGAGAGAAATAGCTCGCACTGTCGGAAAAGACAAGGACGCTGTTAAACATGCTGGAATGCCATGTGGTAAACAGTAATTTTTACTTCTACTATGGTGTAGTGTTGGATGCATGCCGTAGAGCTCCATGCTGCCCCCTACAGTTTGGGAGAATATTGGCTCACCGCAGAGACAAGCCGCATGAACCATAAACACTGCGAGTTGTGAAGCGCGTTCCAGCCGCGAGCCGCATCACCAAGCGGAAAGTAAATGCGTCAAGCATAAACCAAGCTTAAGTCTGTAGTCCTTCACCTCCTTATCTGGAGTTACCTGCTGCCATGTCAAAACAACACAGACCGTTAAAAAGGATGAAATGGTTCCTGGTTGCTATGGTTACCATGGTAGTGTTTCCTATAGACAGTAATATAGTTCTTTTATTAATTCACTATTAGAATAAAATTTGTATTGATCGGCAAAGTATCTTGGATGCAAAAACCCAGCACTAAAAATGCACTGAGGATCTGTGAGCTTTGATTCCTGTCAGTAAAACTGTGAGGGTTTAAATCTCTAAGAAAACTTTTATTCGAATAAAGATAATTAAAAATAACAATAAATTTAGACAGCTGGAGAACCCAGTAACGTTACTATTATTTATGCAGTAACACCACTAAGGATATGCTGAGTACACCCAAGTCATTGAGGTTTTCTAGCATGGTTTAAAAAACAAACTTCATCCATTTTTTGTCCAGTTTTGAACAATCTGACCCTTTAAGCAGACCAAAAACATAAAAGGAAGTTTTTATTCCTGGTGAATCTCATCAGTGCCGACAGCGACATTAAATATTTAGAGGAAAAAATACAAAAACGCATTAAAAACACAGCCTTCAATAAAAGAAAGCAACTCCTCTGTGACCTTGGTGTTATTTATTATTTACCTCACATTCCACCAGCACATCTGCAGAATCATGTTTATCTTCTTGGTTAATGATGTCAGACGTCTCACTTCCTGGTCTCTCACTGCCCCCACAAAGTGAAGATTCTTGTGCACGGTCATTTTGTGTAGCAGTACAAGTCTCTGGTCTAAAGAGGAGCAAACGGAAAAAATTAGAGCAGCGAAAGAGGCTCAAGAGCGACACGTATGAGGATCGTAGCAAACCATAAACGCTTTATTGCTGTTGACTAAAATAAAAACCCCTTTAACTCTAGACATCTGAGATTAGGACAACACCTCTCGAAAGGAGATTTCTTTTACAAACATTAGTGTTCAGTAAAATTTTTAACTCATAAATGCACTGTAAAGCATTTATGAAATATGGTTCTCTTGACCATGAAAAGCACAGAAAAAGTTAAATTTCAAAGGTCAACAACAATCTGGTGAAAACAAATGCATGCACACCAATACCTCTGCTCTGTAGCGCTGCCACACACTGCTGCGTCATCTGCCTGAGGACCTTCAGGATGGTGAAGGTCTAAATTCTGCTCACGGTCAGGACTTAGATACTTAAATACAGCAGCACCTCTTCTTAAACTGTATCTAAATGCCATCCTGATCAAATAACCTGCATACAAGTGAATGAGTTTAGTGTGGAGTTACACTTTTTGACAACCAGAACAACTTATTACTCAGCTTCATAGAGATGGCATTAAAGGAATCAGAATTTAAAAAGCCAGGATGTTTACAGATGTGAATTTAAAACATATCAGTTTCATTTTAGATTATTATTCTTTGTGGGGTTCCATTTACAGCAGACAGTAAATCATGAACACAGAAAACAAACTCACATTAGTTAACACTTAAATGTTATTTATTGGGCTCACCGACAACTTAGTCCAAGGTTTTATTCACTAGGGCAGAAAAAGACCTATCACATTTCTAATCATCTGCAAAGACAAAGAAAATCTTCCACATACGCTTTATAGTCAATAAATTTATAAGACATGATAAAAAACACACTACTGACTTTTAAAAACAGTTAATCAGGAAAACAATTGGCTAAATTTTAGTAAATTAATATTTATGTATATCTATTTATTGTATGCAAAACTGACACCCACACTTTTATCTAGAAAATGTGACTAATTTGTTATGTAAGGAAGCTAAAATTGGAAATCAAACCATAAATCTTCAGAGAAAAACAATTAATAAAGGTTTTAAACAGTATGTGGTTAGTTTAGCTACAGCAACAAAAACAAACCAGAATTTAGTTAGCTAGTGCTACAAAAGTGTTAGTATCATGCTAAATTGTTAGACAAACCTAACTATAATTCTAAACTGTTAAGTTTTTTGCGTTCGTGAAGTGAACATTATTTTTATTGGCCGTTTAATTTGTTTTCTCAAAGCTGAATTCATTAGGCTAGTCCCTTAGGCTAGCTAACCTAACATGCTAAGCTAAGTCACGTTTGTATGTTTTCACGGAGGTGACGCCTCTTCCTCAACTTATAAAACACATAAAGGATATTTTCTTAGCACGTTCCCTAACAGGTAAAATAAAACATTACCTTAACACAGTAAAGGTTCCTCTACACCCCAGTCGCGAGATGCAACCGGGCGAAACGCCAAAGCACGTGGGGCGTTACGTCCTGTTGTCATGTTGCCAGATCTGGAGTTTCCCGCACAACTGGGTGGCTTTTTGTAGGCGATTTCACTGTAAACTTTACTTTGGGCGGTTTTAAAATGACCTTAATTAAAACATATGAACCAAAAAATTTCTCATTATCAGTTAACTGCAATGCAATGGACCTTTCTCAAAACACTGATTGGCAAATGTCACCTTCCAGCCAGGGTGCAAGGCAAGACTCACTTGCATCCAATTTCTCCCCCTGAAAAATCTTTATTAGGGGTTCAAACGTTCCAAAATTTAAATTAAAAAATGGTGTTGTGGCGGCATGCAACATCCTGCATGAGTCGAAAGATTGGTGTGAAAACCTTGACAATCTGGCAACTCATGCGTGGTCAAGATGGCGATTTTTGTCAAGTGGAGAACGGGAATAATGTTAAACGTATTTAAACTAATAATTCACATTTTTAGAATGAGCTTGTACTGTGTGTACCTAAACTTTTAAAAGTTATTTTCTTTAAATAAGTTAAAATGTCCTCCTGAAAGAGCAAGTCACCCCCAAATAAACTTTTTTTTGCTGATAAACTAAATAAACGAGTGTCTAATCGTGCTGCAGACACGTGTCGTCAATAATTTGGCACTTCAGTGCATCTTAGTTAAAATTTAAATATTCTGCCTAAAACTGGCAGTGTTGTGCCGTTGTCAGGTAAAAACTCTGCACTGTATTTTAATTTAAATCTCCCACCGCTACTGGCTAAGAGGTTTGCTATGATGTAAACTGGTACATTATGATGTCACAATGCTGTCGTGAGCCTGTGTGTGTGTATTTGTTAGCAGCTCCGCCTTCTCGGTCTGCCAGGCGACAGCATTTGTTGCATTTTTCAAACATGAAGTGAGAGTGGAGTTAGACTCTGGTAGGGGTTGACTTGCTCTTGAAACTATGTTTTTATTTATTTTTAAAATCGAACTTTATTAACAATAAAAACAACAATTTACAGCATCCATAGGGAATACAGCATCTAGTATAGGATGTCAGATTATGTCAAAATATTCTGGTAAATCGACATTGGAACATGTAAAGAAAATCAAAACTATAAAGAAATAATACAGGGTTTAATCCTCATAATTTAAGGCCGTCATATACGTAACATGATAATTTACAAAGGCAGGAGCCTGTCAACAGAGTTCCTCCTTAAACGTAGCTGCTGGGACTTCCTGTTATTGAATATTGTTGGACACACGTGAAAAAAAAATCTGCTGTCCCAGTTCAATCTGATCATTCTAAACTGCTTCCTGTAGCAGGATAATTCAGATAAATGCTCCAAAGTCAGACCTTCATCTATCTTGTTCTGCGTTTGCACTTGGACATCATGTATGACTGCATCATTCCCCATAAAAGCAATGCAATAACATTTACATAGGCGTTTAGTAAAGTTAAACAAAACAAAACAAACCAAGAATAAAAATACATCACCCAATACATAAAAGCACAAGGGTGAAATCACTCAAAATGTGCAAGGTGAAATCAGAAATGTCCACAGTGAGTAAGCACGACAAAGTCTAATCTTTATTTACATAGTTTTTTGTTTGTTTTGTTTGGGGAAGCCTTCGTGTTAATGGAACTGGTATTGAATTTGGAAAAAGGAAACTCAGATGTCATGTTTTATGTATGAAAACAGTAAATAAGTAAATATCTACAGAAAGGTTTTATTTCTATAAATTTTAAATTTCTAGATACACACACACACACACACACACACACACACACACACACACACACACACACACACACACACACACACACACACACAAGTGTGTAACTATGTGTTGTCTTTGTCATCATTATGTAAATTAAAATTGTTTTCATTCCCATGGACTCCAGAGAAAGCTTCTTTTGTGTTTTTAGCCAAATGGGGAGTTTTCTCACGCAAACATGTGCTCATTCTTCAATGTGACCGTACTTCACATGAGACCATGAAATATAAAGTCAAACCCATCTCATGAGATCCAGCCGAGGCGCAGTGGTAACGCTCCCATGTGTCATCCTCATCTTTAAATACCACCTATTCCCTCTCTTGTCTCCTTCCATTCCATGTTCTCCTCCCTTTCTGTCTTCATTTTCTTTCTTTCGTTCTTTCACACCCCCGCTCTCGCTCACAGGCTGAGAAAATTCCCTGTTTATTTTTTTTTATTAAGAAAGAGAGAGAGAGAGAGAGAGAGAGAGAGAGAGAGAGAGAGAGAGAGAGAGAGAGAGAGAGAGAGAGAGAGAGAGAGAGAGAGAGAGAGAGAGAGAGAGAAACAGTGGTTTCATTTTATTTGGTTTAGTTTCTGCTTAGGGGCACTGTTTCCCTCAATACATTGTCACAGTTTCAGTGCTGGAATATGGACAAGCTAAACTGTGAAAAACCAAGCCTGTTTGACAATTTTTCTAAGCATATGCTGGTGTGTTTCATGTGTGTGAACGTGTGATTGTGCTTGGAGCGCTTGCATATGTGTGTGTGTGTGTGTGTGTGTGTGTGTGTGTATACTGATGTCGAGCATTGCTATCGATGGCTGGCTGTCAGGGCTGACATTGTTATGCATCATGCTAATTAACACTGAAAATTAAAGCTTTTATTTGAAACAATTAGATTTGCTGGTGCAGATTTATTTTTAGTGCACAGGGTGGTAGAGTAATCTGGATAAATTAAATCACTTCTCCACTTAAGGGGAAAAGTTACATTCTATTTCTGCTTATTATCTGTCTTTTTAGCACATGCCATGGAGACGGCGGTGTGTTTCTCAGCATTAAATTCATTGTCAGCGTGAATTCAAATTTGGCATAACTTAAAATTTTCATTTACACTTTAGGTTTTAAAGTCAAAGTTAAAATCTGTCATAATATACAACACTAACACAAGTTTAATGTGGTCAAATAGACATTTTGAAAAATTTCCATCTTTTGCTATGAAGCATCATGTTCAGAGCCAAAAAGAGCTCAATGTAAATTTAAACAGCAGCTTTTGTCACAAACATGGTGTTATGGAGGTGTTGGACAAACCTTCAAATAAGAAAAACCTTCAAAGCCAAGTCCCCACAATGTGGCTCTAAAATGGTCTCAACCCGGAAGTACCAAAAATTGCAGTTCCACCCTCATCCGCTGGGGGCTGGTGTCAGAAGCGAGCAAATCCTCATTGACTCCCATGTTAAAAATACCAATTTCACAGCAGAAATAAACATGTTTACAGCCTGGTACCAAAACATGTTTTTGGTTTAAATGATCTAGTTTACACTCATGACAACTCTGAGGTGGGTGAATTTTTTTTTACTCTTCTGTTTAAGTGTATTAAAAGCCTAAAATTCTGTAAAATTAATGAGCATCAGACCCACGTGACCACAGAGCTAGCTCTGTGGAAAGGCCTCAGTAGAGCCTCGGTCTGGCTTGGAAACTGCTCCGGGATTTTGAGTCTCTGTGTTTGTGTATTCTTTTTTGGATATTTTTTGTGCAATTGTTGGACAAAATGACTTGCTGTGGCATTAGTTGCACTATTAGAGCATCCAAGGAGTCTCCACTTCATTTTTTCCGGTAAGTAAAATTATATTTATGTATTTTAGGTCACTGCCGAGCTGAGCTTAGATTTTAACATGTACTGTTTAACCATAAAATTTAAATGTAATAGCGTAAAACCCAGTAATTTAACATAATGCTGCACTTTAGAAAATGGGTTGCAATACAACATGTTGGTGGAGCTGGGTTCCGACTATCGGCTTGTGGAGCTCTCGGGAGACCGATGTTTTCCACCCGTTTCTCCCCTTCCCGCAGCTCGGCGCATCTCTGTCTGATCGCGGCTTCTGTCTGCTGCACGGGCTGCCAGCTTGTGGAGCTCTGGGATGGAATCCTTTCCACCCGGATCTCCCCAGCGGCAGCTTTGCGCAACTCAGATCGCAGCGGCGCTTGTCTGCTGTGCGGCTGCCGGCTTGTGGAGGTCTCTGAGACCTCTGTGTTCCACCCGGTTTTACCCAGCGGTCAGCCCGGCGTATCTCTGACTCAGAAGCTCTGGTGTTGTGCACAGTTAACTCCGGTTGAAGCTAGGTTGCTACCTCCGTTAGCTTAGCTCCCACCTCCGCATTAGCTTTGGGTTAGCTTCAGGTTAGCTTGTAGCTAGTTTGACCGGGTGTCGTCAGTTGATCCCAGCCTTATAGCCCCACCCTCAGCTCCACCTCTCTTCCCTTTTGTGGAACTGTCTGGGCTTGACGGAATCTGTGACACGGTCAAAATGGTGGTGGTGGCCACCTCCCATTTGGCCTCAAAAACGTGTTATTGGAGTCTATGGAAACCCATTGTCCAATATTTATATGTCAATGTTCAAAGCGATGTTCCCTGGTGATAGGGGGCAGTACATACTTAAATCCACTTGGAAACAAGATGGTTCATCTCAAGTGGTTTTTCCTCTCGAATTATAGGTTAATAAATAAATAAATAAATAATCATAGCAAGCAAGCAGTATTTTTGTGTTCAAGTAAGACCTTATCAATGGGTGGTCATTAGTGTCAAAAATCCCTGGGAGCACAACCTCCAGGAAAATAACAAGAACATCAGATTCCCTTTCATCACTGGCAACAAGTGAAGAGGTAAATGTGTAAAACAACAACGTTTATGAATGGCAACAGTTTTATAACCATTTGTTACAAATCAGTAATCGTGTTTTGGTCTCACAGGATCCCGTAGAAGGAAACATTGAGTCTAAGACCCAATCCCAAAACTCGCACTTCCACACTTGTGCTCTTCAATTGCGTGATTCCAGCCTGGGGTATAGTGTCCCAATTCTCAAGTGCGGAGGTTTGCCACGCTCCCTTTGCACCCATGATCTGCACTTCATCCAAGGGCATGGGTGTAATTTTTGGGGGGGAGATGTCCCCCCAACTTTTTCCAAAGTAAATTTTTGTCCACTGCACTTTTTACCGTCCAAAACCAATATTATACTATATTAAATAGACTGGTTGAGCACTAGGACCAAGAGTTCAGCTAGAATCTGATGTAAATGAGTTCTATTGATC